TTAACCCAAAATCCAAGATGACAAAAATATGGGAAATGTAACATTTTAGAGCTATTTGTTTCTTAACATTTCTAAAAAACAAATTCTGAAAATAGTAAATATTTTCTGAGATAAAGTGGCTAATATTGACCATCCTGTATGCTTATAATTATTTATCTTACCTTCATTATCGTTTGAACTCGTAAACAACATAACAAACAAAGCGGCGTGACGACCTCCAGACGATGAGACAAACTGTTGCCCAATCATATCATGTATTAACCGGGATTGGGACTGGAACTCGCTTGCATAACCAAGTCTGATCGACATTTTTATGCTTTCGGCTTCGATTATTGTACTTGACTAAATAAATGTCTTATATTTATTTATTTATTAAATAAGATTAACACAGAGAACCATGTATTAATACTTATATCATTGACTGTGTGGTGATATAATTTAGTGTTCTGATGAATATATTTTGATCAAGTAAGTTTGTTTTACATAACTTAATCATAAATCTATCTATATAAATTGTTTTTTATTTGAAATTATAATTTCATTATAAGACTTTAAATACAAAATAAATTGTATTAATATGTTTTCTACACATTTAATTTTAATGACATTTGAAATTGTATAATATAAAAACATAACATTAAAATTTAAAAAAAAACATGCTTCTTTCACGATAAAAATATAATTTGAATTAAACTTTTAACATTTTCAAAAAAATAGTGCAATTTCATACAATTAACACATACAGTTAAGGACACTAGGACAATGCATCAAAAAAGAGTACTGTCCTACCAAAAGTAGTACATCTGCCCACTATACTTATACCAAATAATCGTATATGCCCCTGAATATTCTCAATGATTATGGTTGAAGTCACGGTTAGTTTACCAAGTTAATAAAATATCATACCTAAACACATGCTATCTCGGTTGATTAAAATATATACTAGTTATATTATATTATATATTAATATATTTAATCAATGCAATCTTCCTTATATCAGGGGTTTTGTATAGGCAATTTTCTTGATTATTGAAAAATCTTCAAAGAATATTTATAATAAATAATTATATAATAATTAAAATAATCACCAAAATAGCACATCGCAAGCTTATTGCCCCTGACATCCTGATAGGCAACACTATGTACATGTAGCTTATTCAAATAACCTGAGGTCGTGATAGTGGCCAATTTCAATTTCGGATTTTGGTATTCTATAGTTGACAATAGTGGCATAGTGCGTTCTTATTGTTTATAGTAGATGTGATATCATCCCTACAACACTAACAACAAAATATTTAGATAGACAGTAATTGACAATATACGTAGTGGGATCAAAAAGTCCCCGGAATACTTGAATTGCGCCACAACGGAGTGTCTAAGAGCAGTAGGATTGATATCACTGGATTCTGTGACTTCTTCGGAGTACATCTGTATTTGTAGATTCTCTATAATTTTCTTTGTTTCGATGTGACCGATGTTCTCTTAAAATATTTTTTTCGAATTAGGCGATTTTGTAATAAATCCAAAAGAAAATCTTTTGAGGAGGGAGGGAGGAAGATGTTGGTTAGAGATGATTATTCTCTCATGTTTATGATAACATTATATTATTCGTGTCGTAATTATTATTTTGATAAATTTTCAAAATGTTTTTAGTGATTAACTATACCAAAAAGTTCCTGATTAACCTGAACTTGGATCTTCGTCCACATTCTAAAAAAAAACTTTCACTCGGTAAATCTGTAGTTTTTCAGTTGCATTTTGATAGCAAAATTCATGTGAAACGTAGCATTCCTCTACCAAACAAGATTCTGTCAACAAAATAGAAGGAAAAATCCTTTCAACCCCCCTCCCCCTCAAAAGAGCCTTTTTTTGGATTCATTACAAAATCGCCAAATTCGAAAAAAATATTTAAAAAAACATCGGTCACATCGAAACAAAGAAAGTTATAGAGAATCTAAAAACACAGATGTACTCCGAAGAAGTCACAGAATCCAGTGATATCAATCCTACTGCTCTTGAACACTGCGTTGGCGCGCAATTCAAGTATTCCGGGAACTGTTTGATCCCACTACGTATAAATATCGTCAAAAAGCCACCCGACAAATAACACTATAGGTCTGACAATATGTTTATAGGTTTATGCCATAGATATTTAAAATAACTAGATAGCAAACTTTGTAAACTGATTTGACAATAATTTGAAATCGGCAAGATGGCAACCACTAACAGATGGGACAAAAACGAGAGTGAGTTATCGATATAAACATTATTGATTTTTATATCGTTTTGATGTTTATTAATATCTCATAATGGACATCATGTTGAATGTAATAATAAGAATAACAACCGTTACTTGTTACATGTTTCTTTGTCGTGTAAACATTTTTGTGATAAAAAAAACAGTTTTTATATTGCACATTTGCTGTATATTGTACCAAATAAAATAGTTCAAACGTGTTCCGTTGCTTCTTGCGGCAGTAGGAAAACCACAAATTGTGATTTGCATTTTTTCTCGTAAGTTTAAAATGTACTATTAAGTTATTAGAACAAAAATATAATATAATATAATTGTATTTTGACTGAAAAAAAACCCTGATATACTGCAGCATTGGGTTCGAGCTACAAAAAAAGATTTATTTGTTCCAAATATCAATATAAATATCAAAGAAGCTCTCCAACCAAAGTTACTCCAATAAGAAAAATAAAATCCATTGAAATAACTACTCCAATTAAAAAAATGAAGTCTCGAATTAAAGTATTGCAGCAAATACATTAACATATTATATATCTAAGGCTGTTACAAGCAGAATAGTAAAATTATTTAAATATATCCTAATGAAGTACATTTACGCCATCTATCGTTAAATTTAGAACTATTGAGTATTCTTGCTTTGTACAACATTAATCCTTTAATTTTTGTGAAATAGGCAACCCAAATTATACACCAGCCATGACGCTATTTCTTATCAAAAAAAGCACCTAGCTTCATGTCCCTAACTTCACGCACGTTAAAAATAAGTAAAAGTTTTTTATAAAAAAATAAATTTTTATATTTACTGAGAAAATCCAAAAATGATCTCTCTAAAGTACCTCTTTAGTGAAATTTCCTTTCAGAAACATTGCTCTCATTATAAGTTCGAGCGAAATTGCTGGTAGAAAAGTTGTACACAAAAAAAAAGAATATCGTAAAAAATCGTAAAAAATTTAGTAATGTCCAATCAAAATAATAATAACGTTAGCAATAGGGACTAAAACATAATTAGATTCCGGAACCGGTGCTTTTCGGTTTGGTTCCAGGTTTCACTTTCTGCTCAAAAACTCAAAAGTTTAAAAACATTTTACTCTCGGATTTTGTTCCGAAATGTATTCAGTGTTATCAACTTAACTTTCATCGGATATTCTGACGACTTTTATGGTATTTTATTAAAATAATATCAAAATATATTATATGGAAATAATATTATGCATAATTCATAATAATATATTAAAACTGATCGTAGTTTTTTATAATTTAGTAGTTGCGAAGTTAGATAATATACATCGTGGACATCATAGAAAATAAAATAAGTGGACGTGACCACGGATTAGGATATCTTAATACGCGGACATAACAGATCTATTTATCTTAGTTCTAATGTTATTCTGTATCTTTGTGTTTGTACGATAAGATAATGAATTTTTTTGGCTAAAATACAGTTCGGATGACATATTTTTCTGATCATATACCTACATTTCTAACAATATATTTTTCGAGTAAAATATTTTTTGGCTAAAATACCCATCATTTAAATTAATTATTATTTTTGTTTTCTTATATACAATTTGAACGAAAATTGAGAAATACATGCATACACAATACTAGCAATATTACAGTTAGGGTTGCCTGCAGGTTCGAGGATATTTCCTCTTTCCGGGGATTTTTTAAAGATCCACAGGAAATGTTGAGGGATTTTTAGCTTTTAATGATTTTCGATATTTTTGTTAAAATGAGAAAATATTTAGTATTTTAAACATTTTATTTTTCTCGAAAAAACATGTTTTTCGATGCCGAATTTCAATATTTTTGAAGAAACTATTACTATAGAAGTGATGACAAGACCTTAAATAATTTCGAAAATTAAAAACAAAATTTTGAATTGAAAAGAAATCAAAATTTGTTCAACAAAACCGCATGAGCAGAGAAACTATTTTGTAGTCAATAATTTCCTTATAATATACACATATAAATAATATATATTTAATGTTTATAATAATAAACTGATCTTTGGCTGAGGAACATTAAAGGTATCAATAACAATAATAATAATATTGTTTAAAACATAGACCTATGAACTAATAGTTCATTATCAGGTTTTTAACCTAATCAACTTTTTAAAAATCACAAGACCGGAACCGTTAATATTTTTTTTTTTTAAGAATCGAAACCAAACCGAAACCCTTAAAATCGAAAAGGTTCCAGTCCCTGTTTAAAATGTCATAAAAAAAAAAATACCATAAATCATGACAATGAGCCGATAACAGCAACCAAAGTCATGGTCTCAAATTTATTCTGTCTATGTGGTAGAACCAAGGTATTATATGATATTTCTGTAAAATATCTACTTTGTGGAAGCATTTAAATAAAAAAAAAAAATCAAGAATTTATACGGGTCTATGCATAAAACCCCGTGAATACGTGATAACGAATAACAACCATGTATTAATACAGTGGTCGCCGCTGATAGTGATCACATTCGTCCGAGAGTATTTTGATCGCTATAACCGGAAAAATAAATAATTTTACATGTACACATACATACATAATTTTTGTAGGTTCTTTCAAAGAAAGATTTATAATCGTGGTCTGGAAACAGCGCCCTTTATCACCACTTTTCTTATCAGTATCACACTATCACGGCAGTTTTCTTATAGCAGAATCAGTTCATAACAAAATAGTCTTATAATTATTAAATTACAAATTTGAAAATTATAAACAGTAACTAAAAGTGAATTTAGTTACAATGCCATCAAATGATGAACTAGAAACAGTGCAATTAAAATTTGATTCTCTTCAAGGTAAGGATTTAAAAAACTATATGAAATATCTGATAATATGTCATTCAAATTTATTGTAGAGTTTAATAATTGGAAAGAGAAGGAGGAATTGGCTACTTCTACACGTTATGTCAAACACAGAGGTTCAAAAACCGATATGGACAAAACCATTACAACAAAATATTAATGTCATCGGTCTGGAGTATTTATGTCAATAGTCAAGGAGAACGTATGTTAAAGATAACTGGATCATGTAAAATTGGTAAAACGCTAATATTATAAGCACCTACAACACAATATTTTACAATTTTTAATGATTTAGATCAATGCTGCCCTTCTTTTATAAAAACTGTTGCTGGACTACACAATATAAATGTAACATATTGTAAAACTCACTTTGGACAGTAAAATGAACTTAGATTTCTTCCCATCCTTAATATAATTCAAATTAATTTAATGAAAAATAAAGATGTAAACATTCAAAATGATGTGTTATACAATCCAATGGAAAATTATGAAGTTTTTAATCCCTGCTTAAACCTGTTTGTTAAATCCATGCTGTACAACAGCTATCTATACCACCCACCGAATGCATTGCCAATAAAATCTAGCAAGTGTGTAATATGTCCGTGTCACAAGCAGTTACATTTGATGATCAACAACTTCAAAAAATTAATTTAACAATAGATTCAAGTATAAAAGTTACTTATCAACAAGAAAGTGACTGTATAAACAGTGTAGAAAACCGAGAAATTTTTTCTAATAAATAATTTTTTAAAGGTATCAATTCCCTTTATGTTACTTTTTACATTTAATTTTGGTGTCCAAGGTGAGTTTTACAATATTATGTTGTTTAAAATTTTAAATTAAATTTTAGAATTCTTTTGAAAATGCTGGTACATATAAACTTGTATGTAATGTAACTGTAATACATTTTATATAGGTAAGACAAATAGACATTTTGAAATAAAATTTAAATAACACATTTCGGAAATAAAATTTAAAAAGATTGCCTCTAATTCAAATTTTGCTTAACATGTTTTAGAAAATAACCATAACATAAGTTTTGATATTAATACAGAATTATTAAATGCCCAAAATAACATTTACATTAATTCAGTTTTAGAAGAAAAGAACACATACACAATAAAATAAAGAAAAATAATTTTAATAATATTTTAAATGTTCAAACCGACTTTTAAAAAAAATATCTTGTATCAATAAATTTTAGATAATAAATGATAACCAAATAATTTATATTTCTCAACATATCTATGTCTAATAATAACTGATTTTAAATAATCTCTCCTATTAAAATAAATTATTTCTTTATTCTATGTAAAACGACCGATTTGCAATAATTTTTTATTTTCTATGCATTCCTTCATTTAATTTTTTATATCCAGTCGCGTTTTACATTTTGACTGTGATATATTTGATGATGAATTTTCATTTCGAAACCGGTCGTATAATCCAGTTATCATAATACTCCGGGCGACGCATTGATTCGTTTATTTATTTACGAGTATTAAACCATTTTAATATTTTTGTTTTTACTTTATTATTTTATTATTTACAATATAAGCTTTACCAATTTTACACGATCCGGTTACTCTTAAACGCACGTTCTCCTTAAATACACCAGACCGATGAAAATTATATTTTTTTGTCCATATTGATTTTTGAAATTCTATATTGTTTAATCTTTACCTCGAACAAATCAAATTTTAAATTAACCGTTATTAATTCGTCGATTTAAAACGAACCGATGAATTCTTGCAGTATTTTTGTTGTAAGTAATGTTATCAAAAAATCGAAGTCCAATGCCCCCTGCACTGCATATTTGGTTATTGAACGATTCTGTGAAAAAAAAATACTGCCGTGATAGTGTGATACTGATAAGAAAAGTGGCGGCAGAACGCACTGTCTTTGGACGCTCGTGCGCGGTGGTTTTTCGTCATGTGGCGTTTTGTCGGATTCTGATCCGTGGATTATTATCGCGTCGTTTTACGCGTGTCGGTTTGTTTTGTCGTGCTCCGCAAATGACCCGCTGGTAACGGCCGATACATAGCGTCAGACGTTTGTATGGTTAGTACGGGTAACCTAGCGTTTTTAGATTTATTAACCGCGGTTACCGTCCAGACATATACCGGCTCATGGGCCCGTAAACGTGTATTATCGGGTGCACGTTCCAGCTGCTCTCTGAAGCCGTGCGATAACGAGTCAGCTGTTTTACGTGTGTCCGTGCGTGTATCCACGTTTCCGATCGTTGTATATCATATCAAACAACCAGTGTCCAATCTCCAATGATTAGTTATGCATATTAGTTGTAGCCGTGTCGCCGTTGTTTGTCGTGCCGTAATTTTTTTTTTTTCTAATTTTACTGGTCTTGGTAATCAGTCGTGATTTAGGTAAACCGTGTCGTTTTTTTCATTGTCACGGCAAACGATGTTCTCACTTAACAAAAGTCGTCTCTTTATCGGCGACCGCTGAGCAATTTAACTCGATTGGCGTATTTGCAGTCGAAATAACGTCGTTTTAATGGTAGAAGAAATCATGGAATTAGAAAAATCTCCACGTAGAAACAGTAGTAACCGTAATTCCGCGATGAAGGTAATCACTTTGGTGACTCTGACCCTTCAAAATGCGTTGGTCGCCCTGAGCATGCGATATGCGAGGACGCGACCCGGAGACATGTTCACGGCGTCCACCGCCGTGGTCATGGCCGAAGTAGTGAAACTAGCCGTTTGTCTTGTGCTGGTCTACCGTACAGAATCCATATCGTGGAAACATTTTGTATCGTTACTGAACAACACGATCGTCAAACAACCGGTCGACACGCTCACGGTTTGTATACCATCGTTAGTGTATCTGATACAAAACAATTTACTGTACGTGTCCACTTCGAACTTGGACGCCGCCACTTACCAAGTCACTTATCAGCTAAAAATATTCACGACGGCAGTGTTTTCGGTGCTCATACTGAAACGTAAACTGTTGAGACACCAGTGGATCGCGTTGGTTGTGTTGATTTTGGGCGTCATTCTTGTTCAGCTCAACAATTCCACCGACAAAACCCAGAAAGACCACCCCAACCAAAACCGAATTATCGGATTGGGTTCTGCGCTAGTCGCGTGTTGCTTGTCCGGATTCGCCGGGGTTTTCTTTGAAAAGATTCTGAAAGGAGCCGAAATATCGGTTTGGATGAGAAACATTCAATTGAGTTTCGTGTCCATTCCACTGGGTTTCGCAATGGCTTTCATAACTGACTGGAGTAAAATCGTCAACCATGGGTTTTTCTTCGGTTATGACGCGTATATAGTTTACCTGGTATGTTTACAAGCCGCAGGCGGACTTATTGTGGCCATGGTCGTCAAATACGCAGACAATATATTAAAAGGATTCGCAACGTCGTTAGCGATTGTCGTGGCGTGCGTTTTCTCCATGTACTTTTTCGATTTTAAGATCAGTGTTCAATTTGTTGTCGGCGCGGTACTTGTAATGTTGTCGATATTTCTGTACAGTTATACCAAAGAGAAAAAAACGCCAAACCTGAATACAATACAAAAAGCATAACAATTATTATTTGTTTTACCAAATTGGTTAATACTTAATTTACAATTATAAAACTACTTACACCTACGTACGTACGTAACCAAGTTTATCGAAAGATTAACCTGGCTCTCTTGCTACTACTTCAGTCACAGATGTGCCCCAGTGATTTTGTGTCGGAACATCAAGAACAAAAACACGTAACTCTGCAGATATCAACCTGTAAACATTACTACTTATTAGCCGTACGTATTTTATGTGTACAAATTTATAGTGCACCGTCATAAATCATACATATACAGGGTGTAATTTTGGGCACCCATGAGATCTACAGTCAAACAAGGCCTACAAGGATTCACTAATATTTACTGGAGAGTGGAGATGTTTTTATGCTGCACTAGGTACTAAGAAATTGTCATTTTGTCTTAGGCTCAGGTGTATTTTCATGAATATCCATGCATTAGATGTAGGTCAAATTTTCATTTATTACATAATATTGTTGAATTCTTTCTTAAAATTATTTTTAGACAACTGTTAAAATTTGCAAAAAAGATTTATAAAGAGAATTAAAAAAATAAAATAAACTTTATTATCAATTAGAATTTGTTTTTTTAGTTTTAATATAGGGGAGTATTTAATTTAAATTCGATATTTTTCTTTCGCCTTACATTAACATTAGTATTTTTTTCCCTCAACATTTGTCAGTACTCTAGTATTTCACCAAAGTTGAATTAATTTTGCTAAAAATCTTTCAAAATACCTACTTACCCATAGTACAAGTAAGAAATATATTATTTTTTTAATCACAGAATATTTATGAATTTATGTAGTATCTACCAGAGTAGATATCCTTAGTAATTGTAAGACATTTATGCAAAATAAAATATGTATTCTAGTTATGTATACAAAAAAAAAAATATATTATTAAAAATGTCCATGTATTAATATGAAGAGTAAAATGTATTAATTATAATTAGGATTTTGATTTTAATGTACTTGCACATGCTTACTGGACTATTTTTATCATGGCACAATAATATATACTAAGTGAACATTAAATGCAATGTATAGTGTAGTAAATAAACCTAGAAAACATATTTTGTTATGTATATTATAAAAAAATATTTTTTTTTTTCACTTGTAACCAGGTAAGTAGGTATTTTGAAAGTATTGTGGTATGTATTATATGAAGTTATTGCAATAATTAGTAAATCCTCACAGGATAATATACCTAATATCATGCGCTGTATACAATTTAATTATTTATAACATTATATTTATATTTTATAAAAATCTTTGGTTGAAAAACACATGGTAGAGAATTATAATGTAAACAATATTGTAAAATATGTTAATGTTAAGAACTTATATTTAATTTAAATATTTTTTTCGTATTGTATAATATATAAAGTGTTAACGTTTTCTTTTTCTAACACAATTCATTGAATTATTATAATATATCATCACATTTTATTTTATCAAAATACCTTTTTTATCCGCGTGTTATATTGTCGACTACGACAAAAAGTGTGCAATTTTTATTATATAATTATTTTAAATTATTTTTCACTTGAATATATTATATTTATATTTTTTCTTCGCAAATACAGAGTTTGTGTAATTCATATTCTTAAAATTTACATAGACAATAATTATTAGTAAGTTTAGGTATTTAATTTATTATGATATAATATAGCCTTAACCGTGCAATAGTTTAATGAAACAAAATGTATGTTTATTTTCCCCCTTAAACTATACACGTATAATAATACTAATATACCTATCTATTTAATTATTTTAGAGAACTTTAAATGTATACCATAAACCATGTTATACCATATATTAAATTATATGTTGTTAACTACTTAATTATAAAATAACTGTCTATTAAAAATTAATGTTATTATATGTTTATAATTTCAGTCATTAATGTTTATTTTTATATGATTTTTATAATAATAAAATAATGCAGAATCGCACATTGTAATTTATTTTACTTCCTTCTGATAAATGATTATTTTACATGTCTGTGCTGTTAAAAGCGCTGTACTACTTTTATCTGTAATTTAAAGAAATGGCAATATTGTTTAAAGGACATTATCATTATAAAAACACTCGATCAATTAAAAGGAGTGCAATATTTCAAGCCGGGTTTGGGACTTGAAAAAGCCATGGCTGTATTTGAGTGTTAGGTTCAGAATTTAGAACAAATTAACAAAAATATTTAAGTTTTACTATTTACATGTCATAATTAAACAGATATATGCAAAAATCAAAAATAATCAGATAAACTAAGTAAAAAAAGTAATTTGTTTAAAAACATTAGAAATAAGCCAAAAAACAGCACTTTCAAATTTCATATTTGAGATCATTGTAAGATGACATGAATTTGCATAGAACTCTGCTAGATTTTATATTAGCCAAAAAAATAAATACATGCTTGAAGTCCTGAACGCTGATTATAAATATATATATGGATGACTAAATGCCGACTGACATATATTCAAATTTTAAAATTGAAAAAAAAAAAAAAACGATACTCTCATTAAACTCCTTAGAGCTTTATAATAATTCATAAAATGGCTGTAAAAACTTATAGATGACAATATCTAACATTAGTTATTAACATAAAATTTGTTTTCATAGATTATGTATAGTAGTATAATTTTATCTGAATTTTCATACATTGTATTATTATTACGATTATAATAAAATAGCGTTTTGCTTTTAAATTTATTTTGCTAGCGGAATAATTATCATTGTTATGGAAAACATAAATTTAATTTAACAAATATAATGTGTAGGTACTGGAAAGACTAGTTAGGTAGGTAGTTAAATTGTTTATTTTTAATTTAACTACCTGGTTTATTATTTGCATTATTAAGTCATAGGTAAACTATAATAATATTATAATAGCATTACAAAAACAATATATTGAGTGGTGTTTCCATTAATTTTTTTAGAGTGTACCAGGTGATTCATTTAAGTGGGTAAATTCATTATTTCGGAAAGTATTAACTTTTTCCGGAATTCATTTTCTAGAACATTTAGGAAACAAGCTGCTCCACAATTTTATATTTGTGTTATTTTTGGGGGGTAAAACAAGTAACTATTTTTGATTTTCAAATAGCCACCTATATTAAAAAGTCCATAAATATATTGAGTATTAGTAATTTTAGTGTTAACATTTTCGATTTCTGTCAAGCCGTTGATGAGACATACCACTTTTAATTTTAGGTTGAAGTAGAGTAGTGGAGTATTATTAGTGTGGCAGTAAGGCACGGCAAGTTTAACACTAAAAGTTTTTTTTAACTAATACTCCATCTATTTATGGAATTTTTTAATATAAATCGTTATTTGAAAATCAAAAGTGGGTAATAGTTTTAATGGTTTTACCCCCGAAAATAAGGGTGTCTAAAAATAACACAAATATAAATTTGATGGATCAGCTTGTTTCTTAAATTTTCTGATAACCCGTCAGTCATTAGCTTTGTTTGTTTTAAAAAGTTTGTCTGTACATCAAAGTGTTAAAGCGTCGTAGTGTCGTGATTGCGTTCTGATGTACGCTGGTATTTCATTTCAAAACCAACGTTTTTGTTGTAAAATAATCACACCTGTGTAAAATCGGTATGTAAATTAATAATTAATTGTTTTTAAGTTATAAACAAATACAGGCTATACATAAACAATGATATTAAATTTGTAATATTCTTCTTATCATTATGCAACAACGTATACAAATACAAATTATAAACTGAATTCGAATTATTGTAATATAGAAGCAATTATCTTACTGGATTGTAGTAGAACCCCTACTAAAATTATTCTGCACACCCGGCGAAAAGATTCTGCGCACGCCTATGACAATAGTTAAGATGAAAATAACATAGGTACCATAGTACAAAAAAAAAAAAAAAAAATAATATACTAAGCTAAAATCGAATTATTGTAACATAGAGGCCTATGCAGACCTAACACATTAGGTACATAGGTACCTAATCGAATTTTAATTTATATTTTATGGGTCTAGCTGTAGATCTAAAATGTTTAGATATTGATGCATGTTAAAGGGCCGCAGGTTCCCGACCACCGCCCTAAGGGAACACCACTGAATATATTATACAAGGTTAAATAGGTACCTATTGAAGTTGTTATACAATTTGAATATTTTTAACATTACTGTTTGTTAACAAATAAATTAACTGTTGAATTGCAACGTTAAGTTTAAATTTTAATTGGATGGTTTTTTTGTATTTATTTAGGTAATTTAACTTCATCTAGTTCATTATTTAAATTAATCTTCTCCCTTTCAAATATTGTTATTACAGTTTTTATCATGTTCTATATTGTATGATTGTTGTACGTTTTATGTTTTTATGATAAAAATACTAAATTATATTTTCAATTTCATATTAGTTAATATGTTATCGTCGCTGCCATACGAAGTGGCCAATTGAAATTTTATCTCTGTTGGTAAACTAATAAGTACCTACTAATTAACCTATATTATTTAATACTCACTAATCCACAAAGTGTGAAAAATCCAAATTGATTTGATTTTATATGAATAAAACGTGTGAATAATTATTCATACCTATATCATTTTAATCGAATTATCCAACATTAAGTTTACTAACTCGAAAAAATTTAAAAAAAGTATAAAACAAACCTAAACACTTATTCAAAATACAACAACTCGTAAGTCCATTACACTAGGTAGGAATTTTCGGTGATTTTTTTTTTTAAAAGAAGACTGAGGACTATTTTGGCCATACACAGTGCCGGAGCAAGCGTCGGGGCGAGCGGCGCACATGCCCCGGGCCCCGCAATTTTGGGGCCCCGTTATTTATAGTGCTCCCACCTAAATAAAACCAAAAATAAAAATTAAGTTCATTTTTGATCATGAGTCTTACTCAACATATTACCCAAAATACCCAAGTATCGCGGTAAATTTTAGTTGATTTCTACCAGATTATTTTCGTTGGATACGTTGAAAATATAATGTTTGTTAAAACTGAAATGCT